ATGGGACCATGATGCCGAGGCCCCAAACACCCCAGGTGCCCCCTTTCCCTTCTGGTTCCCCCACACCACTGCCTCAGTTTCCCCACCTACGAATGCAGGGGTTGGGTACTCCATCCTCACTCCCCCACGCTCGTCCCGCCACCCCCGGAATCACCACCCCCCCTCGGGGACCGAGCGGGAAGGTGCTGGCTCCGACCTCTCGTCCACCCTCTGGAGCTGCAGAGTGTAGCGGGAGATGAGGTCTCGCACTGTCGTGCCGGGGCTCAGCCCGCAGTACAGCTGGAAGACGTCCCTGAGGCTGGCTCGCCTGTGCCCTGTTGGGACGAGTCACCAGTGGACGAGTCACCAGTCGTCTGCCCTCTCCCCCTGCCTCCACCGGCAGCCCAGCGCAGGGTCACCGTACCTTGTTTGGTGATGTAGGACAGACACTCTTCCTGGAGACACTTGTCATCCACCAGGTCCTGGACCTTTGGTGTGGTGCAGTAGACGTTGGAGTACTGGAGGGCAAGGGAAAACCAGCTCTGCTCAGCCACGGCTCCAGGACAGACCCACCCCACTCAGAACCCCGTTGTCCCCCCTACATGGCCACCCCGATGGCACAGCCGCTGCCCAAATCTCGCTCGCAGCCTCACACTCTGTGACCTGACCCACCTGGAGTATGGAGACGAGCGTGACGACCCCGTAGTATCTGCAGACGGACAGGGAAACGTGAGACCCTCTCTGCCAGCACCCACCGCCCCCCTCCTGCAGGCCAGCCAAGCCCCCTTCCACACACTCACAGCAGGTTTTGCACGGCAATGCGCACCAAGTTCAGCTCCACGTCAGCTTCTGCGGAAATCTTCTGGACGTGCCGAAAGCCATCGATGTAGGGCAGGATCTAGGAAGGGAAAAAGCAGAGAGAGGCCCAAGGCATCACCCCAAAGCCCAAGAAACCTCCCTTTGTCTGGGAGCATGCTGGGATGGGTGGGCTCCATCCCCAGCAGCATTTAACCCACATTTTAGGTGAATGGGTCACTCGCAGGGCTGAGAACAAAGACGAGGGGAGCACTGAACCACACTCGTTACGTGGTGATCTCTGGGACAGCCCGACTCCCCTCTGCCCCCAGGCAGGCTGGAAACAGGCTGGAATCCCATCCAAAGCATACTGCCCCCGGTCAAGCACACGGACCTGCTGTGTGGTGAGATCCCACTGGGAGTTGAAGAAGTCATCCTTGTCTTGGGTGAAGACGGGGACATCGTACTCCTGCACGATGGGGGGGTCTGGGCGCTGCTCGATCACCTTCAGGTGGATGGTGTTTGACTCATCTGGCCAGGGAAGGGGGAGCGCTCAGGTCCCACCTCTGCTCAGTCCCAACCTCTGCTCCCTCAGGAGCTCGTGACTGTCAGTCCCAGGACACCACCACACCGTGTGGAGGAAGTTGTTTGTGGCCCATAACCCCATCCCTCCTGGCCCTTCGAGCCACCCAGGGCAAGGCTGGCTCAGACACCCCCCAGCTCAGACACCCCCCAGCTCCACACGCAGACAGGCAGGGAGCTGCCAGGAGCAGTGCGGGCAGAGCTGACCCAGGCAGGGGATGGCCCAGCTGCATCCCAGCACCACCCTGCCTGCTCCTGCCCTTGCTGCCAAGCTGGGGACAGCCCGACTCCCGTACCTATGGGCAGGGTGCACTTTCCTTTGGCGTTCAGCTCCTCCAGCAGGATGGTCATGATGGGAACCAGCTTCTGTTTACTCTCCTCATTGGAGATGAAGCCGCTTTCCAACTAAAGAGAGCAGAAAATTGAGTCAGCTCCTCCCCACGGGATTACCGGCTATAGGAACTGCAAGTCTCTGCTCCCGTCCTCCCTTAAACTTCAAGTGAAATCAGCACAATCCCCTCCTCGCTGTAAACCTGGCCCTTACCCCAGTGACCCACAACTTGCGCCCAGACAGCGCTGACTCTGTGGGGCGGATCGTGAGTGGCGGTGCGGCCCCCAGCCTCTGCGCGCGTCGGCTCGGGCCTCACCTCGAGGGTGGTGAGGTAACCAGCCAGCTTCTTCACTATGGGCTCCAGCGCACAGGCCTTGGCTCTGGCATCGCACACGAAGCCCAGGTTGAAGAGCAGAGCGTTTCGGCTGTACTTCTTGTGCTCGATACAGACAGGGCAGCCGATCAGCTTCTTCTCCATGGCCGTACTGCGGGGAGACAAGTAAAACCTGCACCTACGCCCTCACGGAGGCCTGAGCCACGCACAACTTCCTGGTCGGCTCTGGAGGTGGGGGCTTCTCTGCTTTGCAGGAAAAACCGTGTACAATCCCTGCATGCTCAGGGT